TTGTGGTTAAAACTAAAAAACAAGAAACTTGTGCCCAGTGAGACTAGATGGTATGTAAACGGAGAATAGACAAATTACAAGTGTGTTCAGGAGTGCTGATCAACATTCATTGTGTTTTTTTTTATTGCAAAAAGATAAACCACTGCTCTAAATCTCAGATCTATGGAGGACATATGACATATAAACCCTGGAGAATCTGTCAGTTTTTTTACACTTGAATAAGCACAAACAGAGATGACAGCTGCAGTGTCCTGGTGCACAATGGCCGGGGGTGTGCCCTCTTACAAAGTCAGTGACCTTGAGTGATGTCACTTCTTCTCTCAAAGCCATTTCTACAATTTTTTCGACTACACTGTCACTGTCCAAAAGACCCTAAGTCAGATGGAAATGACTTGACACTGATGAAGACTTGATGAAGACGGTTGTTTAGTTTCAAGTAAATTTGCTGTAAAACTTGATACGAAACAAGCCAATCTTGGGACCGCTGTTCTAAATAACTATATAGAAGTTTACTAATGTTGAAATATAATTACGAATTTATTTGGTTGACCAAACGGAAATAATATTCAGAAATATGTATTTAATATCGTCAGATCTAGTAAATGGCCAGTCAAATTAGACAATTGTAACTACTGTGCAATTTCTCCTTTCGTTTACGTCCATTTCGGTTTGGCTGAGAACCCAGGAACACAACAAACAAGTTGAGATTGCTAATAAGTTGGTTTTGTAGACTTAAAAAGGAACGTTGGAGCTCCTTGATTGTAACAATAATGAAACGCAGACCAACACATATCTTATTGGACCAATCACAATGTTAATTTCCAGGAAAACATTGGATATTCCATCTGCATCATGCATCCTAGTGATGTTTGATGCCTTTGGGCTCACTGTCAAAGATGCCAATGTGAGCTGTAAACAAATCAGCACCAAACGCACGATTTTCAAATTAGACTGTAGAGGCTGGATGAGTTACATTACACACGTACAGTCTGTACGTATCGTTGTTAACAAACGTGGACGGACACATGCAGACAGAATTGAAGGAGTCCTTTAGTTTCAAGAGCATCAATAATTAGTGGATGTTCAGTGGATGGAGATCAGTGCTGGAGAGATGCATTGTATGGTGACTTGGTCAGTTAAAATGCCACGGTGCTGGGGTGTAATTCCAGCCCAGCGTCTCTGGTTCTCAGAGAGTGATAGAAAGAACCAGAGAGCTTCACAAGAGTCATAGTCAGTAATGTTGGGAGAATTCACGAAATGAGCTTTGTTGTACATTCACGAAACGACTTAACATCTCTTTGTATAAGAAACATATGAGTTACTTTAATGTCTGTTGGGGTTTTTATATCTGTTTTAAATCTCAAACAAACTTATCCACGGGATTCCCAAGTGTGACATATCTTTACAGTTGATATACTTGAAATATAAAAATATAAACTTTTAAAGATGAACCACCACGCTTTTGTCAGTATAGCATACAGATGTATGTACACCTGATCGATCAAAAAGATGAGACCCCTCCCAAGAGAGCATTTGACTCACATTCGTTCAGGCTTTAGTCATATCTAGAATGAAAAGCTCCACTTGTGCAGTCAGACCTCTACAGATGATACAAACCATGCAACTTGACTGCTTTTCAACGAGCTCATTTAACTCCTCTTTTCTTCTCCGTCCTCTGGCTTCTTGCGATATATTCAAAACTCTGATACTTGCTAACAGAGCTTCACAAAATCAGCACGCTTCTACCTTCACCAGCTCTTGCAATCCTACATCCATCACCAGTAGCTAGCGTTCTGCAAATGAACAGCTTGTAGAGGTTCCGTCTCAGAGGGGCAGTTAATCTCTCATCAGAACATTCCAATACACTGGCAGTGTTGCAAGAATAATGTTCCAAAAACTCTTCATTTTTGTCAGCACTTACAAAATAAATTGCTTGCGGTATTTCCCCTAAAATGTCAAATGTAAATGAAAGGATGCAACCTGTTCAACATTTTCTTGCTTCTAATTATCCCACACTTAGCTGTTAAAGATATTTTAATTAGCAGAAGCAACAGCTACTGAGTTACAAAGGAGTAAGATCACATAGTTTGCTTCCAAACTTTTAGGTGTCCTTCAGATCAGCTCAAGAACTGAACATAGAGATCTTCATAAATGTGTAAAAAAAGTGTTTTGATGGCTCAGCATCTGGGAGGTTGACACAAATCCGAAGTCTGTGTGTGGCACAGAGATAAAAAAAATGGTTGTAACTCTCACGAGATATAGTAAAATGCTACAATATATTAAGATTTCTATTTTTTTTTTCCAAACAGCCAGTCAGAACTGTTCTTATGCCAGGCAATGCTGGGGAGCATCACAAGGAGCAGAGTATACACATAGAGAAGGCCAGACAAGATAATTCTTTAGGAATATGTACATTAGAGGATGAATACTGAGAATGATCTTGGAACAAGGCACAGAAAATTGAGTGACTATAGAAGAGTGCAAACATTGCACAGCACTTATCAGCCGATTGCACCAAAAGAACTAGGGTGACAGCACCTGAGCAGATTGAAAGATAGCCAACTGGGAAGCACAAAGAGGGATAAAGACGTAAAAGGAGAATACAAATAACCAAAATCCTCTGAATTAAGCTTTGGCCACTGTGTCATGTTTGGTTCCGCACTCATTTCTCCATTACGAGAATGAAAAAACCTTTTTCATCAAACTTTTTATGATTATCTGACAGTTTGTTACAAATTGCTTGTTGTGTTATGGTAGACCTTTCATCAAAAACCTGTGGGTGGCATCACAGACTCTACAACCATGTATTGGCTAACTCTATAGCTCTCGGTTAGCTTACCAAATGAAGTCCATTAACTGTCCAAATTACCTAAGCATCTTGCTGGTCTTCGGTCAACATGATTTGCTTTTGATATCCTCATTCATGAGTCACTTTGTTTGAAAGAGTCTGCTAAATAATTAAATGTAGATGTAAATGTGATACACCGAAGCCCCATTAGCATTTGACGTGATCTTACTGAAAGATGAGGAAAGGATTCATCTCAATCTGCATCTGCGAAACTAGTTTCAAACTGGTTTCCTTTCAGTTTGCATCCTCATTCTCTGTGATGAGCTCTCCTCAAAATCTATATTAATCAGACTATAGTCTATAAGTTGGAGAGAGGGAGGATGGGCAGCAAGAGCACCTCTCTTTCCTCTGTTCTCACGCCGCAGTGCAGGTACTACTGCAGATGAATGTGCGGCGGATGCTCGTCCGTTTACTCTGTTACAGCTTCACCCAAACCTAGCACAAAAGTACATCAGGAACTGTTAGGGGTCTATCCAGCTGTGGATATAAAGAGGCTCTCAGTCGTGAGATTCTGGACCATCATGAGAGCAGATCCTAACTTTCTATTCGCTTCATTATTGAGTGGAATAAAGTACCCCTCACACGCTCTCCTGCTGTGTCACAGGATCCATGAAGGTCATCATGCATGTGCCTGAGCAGAGACGGGCACAAATACATCAGAAGTATTTCCTAATTAAATCATTTAACACTAATTACTTGCAAATAGTAAAGAAGCCCTGAGAGGAAACATTGCTTTTATTTATTTTCATTTCTTTTGGTATATATTGGGGCTTTTCTACTGCATTGTGTTACTTCATAATGTGTCTTATTAAAAGACATCTATGTCGCCTCCTTCATGTTCGTTCTATACTGGTCCTGTATCAAATCCTCTATCGATTTTGTTTGCTTTATCTTTCAATAAACGATGAATGCACCGCTGTTTTGTAATGATGTGTCACACTGTTAATGACAAGAATACCACTGTTAACCAGTGATCTGCAGGTTCTTAAACGTCACATTTGCTGTGTCAGATGTACCAAGTTTACTAAGGACAGAACATAGTGGAAAGATGAAGACACATGAAGTGCAGTGCAAAAGAGAAAGGACACAATATTCCAATCGTATACATATAATATATTATATAATTTTGAAACCACCAAGGTTCACTACACTTATGTTAACAGCACTGGCTAAAGATGGCTAAAGATTGCACACAAACTTTGATGTTGGCTTGTAAAAAGTGCTATTTTTGCCACAAACTATTGTCAATGTCACAATGAGTCACATAACCCAGCCCCCATGTGGTTTTTCTGAGATAGAGATGGGTTGCTATGATAAACATTATTTTTGCTATGGAGGGGCCAGTGACATCACATCCCTCATGTCATTATGAGTAAAATAAACCAACCCCCATGTCTCTATGATTTTCCAAAGCTTAGATTTCAGAATCTTCGGTTGGTAGGGTAGACAGTTTTGTTGCTTGGGTGCAGTCAGTTACATCATACATCATAGTTATTATGATTAATATGATCAAAGTTCCATTTCTTTTTCTTTATTGTCGCCGTTTATTTTCAATGGCCATTATAAGTCAATAGTAAATCTTGATACTTTTGCACAGTAGTTGGCTTGTTTTGGCTATCGTTGAAATCTGACGGAAACACGTGAAACTGTTCTTGCTGATTAGATCTAGGGACAGTTTGGATTTGCTTTCATCGAGGTTTGGATATCGATTAAACAGATAAGGTGAACTAGCTCCAGTTAGACACGAGTTGATGAGAGTCTACCACAGGAATTAGTTCATTGCTGATGGGTTTTACAATTAAAAAAAGTAAAATGCAGATGAATGGGAAAACACAGGTTCGTTATTTAGACATATACAATGTTTATTTTAAACCAAGGTTACAGCATTTTCATAACTTGTTTTATAGATCAAAACAATGTATACTGTTTCAAATATAGATGGATGATAGATGTATATTGTGCCAATAAACCTTTTATATATTTCATTTAATTGACTACTAAACATGCTAAATATTTGAGTAGTGTTTATTGTATAACTATTTATTTTAAAGCAGAGTTTGAAACATCAAACAACTAGGATTAAAACACAGGTAAACAGGGTAAAACCCAGAAATAAAATGATAGACTAGAATGTAAAAGGAATAAACATAAAGCTTTCCTGTTGCTCTGTTGGTACAGCATTGCGCTAAAACGCAAGGGTCATGGGTTCATATCCCAGGGAAAGCAAAAACTGACAAAAAATGTGTTCATTCTTTCAAAGTGCCAAATGCAGAAATGCTAAACTTCACTTGCTAATGATCACTTGCTCATGTTGGTAGTGACCAGCAGGGGGCTACTCTTGGTAGTGACCAGCAGGGGGCTACTCTTGGTATGGGATCAGACATTTCCTGCAGAGGGGTACAGTCCTTGAATTTTTCTGATACCCCAAAGGAAGTCCCATCAATCATTCTGGAAGCTTGATATTGATCAGCCAATGTTGTCAGATGAGACATGGTTTCCTGCTTTAATGATGACAGCCCTGGTAAAATAGCCTCTCCCGTATCTCACAGGAGCCAGCTTCGTGCCATCTGATGTATTAGCGCTGTGCTGCCGCAAAACAGTAGAAACTTTGATAATGAAAGAGTTAAATGATCCTATCACTTTGAATGATCAAAACACAGACATGGAAGGTTAATGATCTAAACCCATGAATAATAATGCATTTATTGAGGAAGTCAACTGCAATGTTACTCAGCTTTGACCTCTGGCTCAGATCATCAAAAGCAGGATATAATGAATTATATTTAGTGCTTTTGATCTCCAAACTGGTTAGGTGCTGTTTTAACATTTCATATCCCCCTGATCAGAAACAGAGGCATTAAACTTAATCACGGCCACTGATGGAAAACAAGACTCTCTGGTATTCCAAAGATTTTCATGTCAATGACTTGGAGTTCAGTTTCATTGATTGGTGTTTTTGTGAAAAAGACCTCTCCCGAAATGATCTTTATGATAAATGTATATTTTTTCGGATCTCACAAGCAAAAAAGAATGACCTTATGGGTCTGTGTGTTTCAGTATGGGCGATCGGACAGCTACCGCGTTGCAACAACGCAAGACAAAGATGACAAAGATTCTCCAAAGAGGAAGAAGGGAGGGAAAGATCTCGATGATCTGAAGAAAGAAGTCCCTCTGGTAAGAATACTGGGATTAACGCCTGTTGTGTTTCTTCTTCATCCTTAGCAACTTTTTCTCTAATTCCATTCCAGACAGAACACAAGATGTCAGTTGAGGAAGTGTGCCGGAAATTTCAGACAGACATTGTTCAGGTAAGTGAAGGAATTTGCCAAACATTCGGTTTTTTGTATTATAGGTTACAAAAAAGATGTTTTATACGATGCCACTGGTGCACTCGGTTCTTTTTGAGCTCCACCAGCTTAGCTGGGAAGCATCGGTGTAGAGTTTTCAGACTGGAAAAGACATGAATTAATGATGCTAAAAGCAAATCTTTTCAGAGGTCTATAAAAGTCAACACAAAATTCACATTAGTCACAACACAGATTTGAAAAACAGTTTTCATAAAAGATGCGCATTTAAATTTGTCAGTCAGTGATGTTGTGTTCAGTTAGTTGTGAAAGTACAATAGATTGAAGATTTTGGGTAGTATTAGCTCAGTGAACCGATAGCATTGCCCAGGAGAGAAGCATTCATGTTTGGACATGGCTTTGGGTCTTGCAGTTTTTAAATGATTGAATAAGTTCTTCACAAATACCTCCCAAAAATAAATAATTAATCCATATACCATATTACTGTTGGTGATTAAAATGGAAAAGTTGAGAGTTCAGTACAATGTACAATAATCAATCTGGAAATACACAATAAGACAGCAGTTATCCACATGCCCTGATTGAAATGTTAAATGTTTAAATCATTGTAACTCATTTGACTACTTGAAAGGTTATGTTGACATGACAATAAAAAACGCTACCACTTGCTATCAGGCTAAACAAAAGGCGTAATGTTAAACATAATGACTAATGTTTAGGTGTAATGTTAATTACCAAATTCTGCTTACAATCATTTTCTTTGTCATAAATAAATCAATAGGCAGCAATAAAGGTGATCAACATGTGAGTAACATAGCAACAAGCTGTTTTGTGATTGGAGATAAGTGTGGATGGTCAGATTTTTTCACTCAGCAGGCTTCCATCATTAGAGTGAAAGTAATATATGTAATATATAAATAATATATAAAATATATTTAATATATATATAATATATAAAAATATATAACAAAATTGTATGACCAAATCTTCTTGTGCACAAGGCTAATCACATCTAAAGTGTAAACCTGTGAAAATAACTTCATTTTAAAAATGTATTTCTACTTGTCCACATTCTTTATCCCATAAGTATTTAGCCAAGAAATATTTTGTCATATACAGAATTATATATTTATGGCATATTGAACACTTTGGCCTCTGTAGACATTACAGAATGATTAACCTTCGATCGACTGAAGAGTTGAGAGTTTAGAGGGCTAACCGTACAATGGGGAACATACTTATTTCATCTTACAATTTATAACTTCTCCAAATTAATTGTTCTATATTCTTTACATCTCTCCGTGTTGAAATAAACCTGCCCTTAAATTTATGGAACCATCATTTCTTTGAGAGCAAATGTTCTGATACTCTGATATTAAATGGATTAAAAATCTGAAAGTGTATTTTGAAGTTAGATTTTGCTAAAGCTAGTTCTACTGACTGTGACCCTTCTTTCTCTTCACCGAAGGGCTTAACTAATGCTAAGGCTAGAGACTTTCTGGCACGAGACGGACCCAATGCTTTGACACCTCCACCAACAACACCAGAGTGGGTTAAATTCTGTCGCCAGCTCTTCGGTGGGTTCTCCATTTTACTTTGGATTGGAGCTATCCTCTGCTTCCTGGCCTACGCCATTCAGGCTGCCACAGAAGATGACCCGGCTGGAGATAACGTGTGTATATTTGTTGTATATTTTAAATTTAGGGCTTGAGGACTGAATGTGTGTCGAACCTTATTGTAATTGTTCAGAGTATTATTGTTTTTTTTTTTTATTATTTAAGTCTAATACCGATTCGAAAAATGGGTGTCGGAAATTATTTAGAAACACATTTCAGCTTATGGTGTTCTAAAAGTTTGGTGACTTAAAAGACTTTAAATAAGTAATTTAGATTGTGTTTCCAAAATCGACAGGAACTTGTTTATTTTGTAAAAACCTCTAAAATTGGACACTTTTGGTTAATTCACACTTTGACAACCTTCTATAGATTTTATCTGTTCACCTCCAAACTTCATGCATCTTATCTTGGGGCATATGGGATGACTCTTTTTTTTGACTCTATGTGCGCACAGTGGCTGACTCAAGTTGAAATTTCGCCATAATTAGAAAGGTAGACATTTACCAATTAACTATGTTAGCAATTTATGTCTGAACACATCTACAACATAAACTCTAGGCTATAGTATAGTATAGAATATTGGCCAAAAAAATATCAAAAAATATTCTCAGTATACCCAGTCATAGCGCCACCTTGGGGTCATGACATGTGGTTTTCATTATTTAAAGTGCCTGTGTTTTTCAGTAATTTTAACAGGTCTCGCTTGAAAACATCCCCTAAATTAGAAAAGGTTGTAGTGCATAGTGCAGCAAAAGGACCACTGAAGTGTGAAGGTTGTGAGAGCCCTTTGGTTAGCAGCTTGCAGCTTTAATTTAGTTTATTTATTTTTTAAATGATGAAACTATTAAATTAATTTGACTTTTAAAACATGTTTATCCACTCTCTTCCAGCTGTACCTAGGAATCGTGCTGTCTGCTGTAGTCATCATCACGGGCTGCTTCTCCTACTTCCAGGAGGCTAAGAGCTCTAAGATTATGGAGTCCTTTAAAAACATGGTTCCCCAGGTACTACAATATCAGTGCCCACAATCAAAGTGTATATGTAAAATGAAACACAATGTAATTGTGGTCTAGTGCTTGTAAAACAGTTGCTTTGTCCTTGTATATTCCCAACAGCCTGTGAAAAACGGTAAAGAACATAGTTGTTTTGCTGGATTCTCTCCACAGTTTTGTCATTGACTCAAAGTCTACAGGGGCACGGGCTCCACTTGATTAATTCATTTCATGATCATGTCAGAGCTTTCTTTTCTATATCCAAATGACAAAATATAATCTTGTTCTAATAGAAAAATAAGTATTCAAGCTAGTAAAATAAACTACAAATGCTACTTTTCTGTGTAAACCCTTAAAAATTAGGATGCCACCATTACTTGTTGAAGCAAATATTACATTTTTTCTTTAGCTCAGTTTTTGTCTGCTTCTGACAGATAGGATTTTAAACATCATTTTAAGAAAGGTTTCTCCAGTGCTGATGCTTTAAAGTTACTTCAGCTCAGATTTTCAACCTCATTAGCATAACACTGTGTCATTATTAATATTAACATATTCACTTGTAATTTAATGTAGTTTAATGGTTACCATAATAAGATCTACTTGCTGCTCTTGGGTGACCATTAGGTCTTAAACAATTGCTTTTTCAGCACATCTGTAGAACCGAGCCTGATTATAATGATCAGATGGCCTTTTGAATGTGTCTAAAGACAAAACGAATAGAAAAAGATTAAAACGATTCAAACAAACAGATGCTAAAATAGTTTAAAACGATCTTTCTTCTGTTCACAGCAAGCACTGGTTATTCGTGAAGGAGAGAAGATGCAGATCAATGCTGAGGAGGTGGTTGCAGGAGATCTGGTGGAGGTCAAAGGTGGAGACAGAATCCCGGCGGACCTCAGGATCATCTCTTCTCATGGCTGCAAGGTGTAGGCTTAATAAATCACAATCAGCCATTATTACGTTTATCTGTGATGCTAATTGTATGTCATTTTCAGGTTGATAACTCATCCCTGACTGGTGAATCAGAACCTCAGACGAGATCCCCTGACTGCACTCACGATAATCCTCTGGAGACCCGTAACATTGCCTTCTTCTCTACCAACTGTGTGGAAGGTGTGGAAGTCGCTTTGGTTTTGATTTGAAAACTCTAAAAAGTGGTGTTCTGAAACACAAAAAAAATCCCTATTTTTCAGGCACTGCTCGTGGTATTGTGGTCTGCACTGGTGACCGCACAGTCATGGGCCGCATCGCCACCTTGACCTCAGGACTGGAGACAGGGAAAACTCCCATCGCCAAGGAGATTGAGCACTTTA